TAAACATTTTCTAGCAGTGATAGATCATCCAGTTATTAATACTAATGCAGAAGAACAGGATAAATGATTTTCAGGAATCAGTCATCAGTTTTTAAAGTTTTATAGTTCAGGAATGGGAGTACTGAATATTGAAATTTGATTTAGTAGCAGACTAGTCTTTAAAGCACAGACACCATACCTTATTTCCTCCTACTCCACATGCTTTTTTTTGCATTTTTTCAGAGTAACTGATTAGTGTAGAATGAATTTGGTATGTGTGATTCAGAATTCACCTCAGAGAATGAAAGGCGAAATGCATTATAATCAGGGGTGAACAGATAATAAAGTGGTTCTGGCCTTAGCAACTGCCTTTTAATACCCTTTCCTGAACTATCTCTGATGTTCTGTTATCACTAGCAGCAGCAGGGAACACATATCTCATTGCTGAAAGAGGACAAAGAAATATAGTGGTGGGGAAAACAATTCCCAGTTAGGAAGTGAAGTGCTTTAAAATGGACTGCAAAGTTTTTGTTACAGAACATCATTAACAAATTGTAGATGTGAAATCCTGGCTCCACTGAAGTCAATGACAAACCTCTCATAGACATCACTGGGACCTGGCTTTCACCCGAGGTGTAAATTTAAACATTAAAAATACATTTACAGAGTCAAAGAAAATGTTTGGAAGCTGTTCCTATTTATAGCTCCAGTTTTGGAAGGTACTTAAACACATGCCTAACTTTAAGCATGTGAGTAGTCCCATTGGCTTGAGTGTGCTTAAGTATCTTCCCCAACTGGGACATATATGTGCCTAGTGCTGAGTTCAGGGCTCTGTGTTTCCCTTAAACCCACTGATGATGCCACAGCCACCTGAAAATTAAGAGGGAGAGACTGTTTTAGTGGGTACTAATGATATCATTATTGAAGGGGGAACTTGGAATCTTGCTACCAGACAGATACTGCTGGGTGCAGTTAGTAAAGGAGGAAGAGGGTTGGTAGATATTTCCTTTCACGATGGTATTTATTTGCAATTTGATTCTCATCACTTACTCTGATGGATGTTCCAGTTAATGCTGATCGTTGGCTCTTAAAACAGGTTTCAATAAAGCACTAGCAGGGTAGTGGATTGGAATACTGAGTAAGTCTGTCTGTCTGTCTGTTTGTTTGTTTATTTATTTTCTCCAGCTGTAGTGATTTTAGTTGTTAGTATTATTTATTCAGTGCCCGAAGGTGTGCTAGTCATTTCACAGACATATACAATGTATTCATACCCCTCAAATGTTGCTCATTTGGAGGGATTTCACTCATGACAATTCCAAAGTTGTACGTTTCCTACATGAATAATTTTTGGGTCCCTCATTATGTCTCTTTGTCACATATTGAGTCCCACACTAGGCAGGTTGAGAGGTAAATCAGAGGGCTCCGGATACTGAAGATCTACTTGCCTTTGCTGCCCTTGCAGACAGTTTCTCCCGCCTAGGTGTTTGGGCCTGGCCCTGTGAGGAGGTGTTCGGCCTTTTGTAACTCACATGGGTGATCTGCCCAGAAGTTGCTGAGTCCTGGAGTCCCAGATGGGTAACCTGGGAGCCACATACTCACTCCTGGTCCTGTTCTGGCCGCCTTTGCTGAGTGTTTTCTCTCCAGGAATCTGTGCTTACCCACAGAAGGAGGTGCTGGGGCTTTTGTGGACTTGCATTGTTGTATTTGCTTGTTCCTTGTTGTATGTCTAAACAGGGCATTTATGTGTTGAAGCCAAGGAGTGAATCTACAGCGCAGCAGCTTGCCAGGCAGTAACGTCCTGCGTGGACACTGCTACAGTGCAGTAAAAGTTCTGTAGTGTGCTTTGAGGTTCTCCCATTTCAAACAGAGGTTCAGTAACTCCTCACTTAACGTCCTCCCACTTAAGGTTGTTTCAAAGAGACGTTACTGCTCAATTAGGGAACATGCTCATTTAAAGTTGTGTGCAATGCTCCCTTATAACGTTGTTTGGCTGCCTGTTCTGTACACAGCATGTAAGATTTTGTGGAAGAGCAGCGACTTTACAAGGGAGCATTGCACAAGTTCCTCTTCTCCGCCTCCTCCCCCTCCCTCCCAGTGCTTCCACTCCTCCCCCTCAATCTCAGAAAGTCCTAAGCTCCGCCAAACAGCTGTTTGGCAGCAGGGAGACGCTGGGAGGGAGGAGGAGGAGCAGGGATGCGGCGTGCTCCGGAGAGGAGTTGGAGTGGGGATGGGAAGAGGTGGGCCTGGAGTGGAGTGGGGACGGGAAAAGGTGGGCCTGGAGCACCTCCCAGCAAAGTCGGTGCCTGTTCTTCTCCGGGTAAGTTGCCACTGCTGCTGCGAAGGTGCTTCGTAGCCTCCTTGCCTGCAGTGGGCTGTGCCTGTGTGGGGTAAGCCAGGGTACTTCCCAACCACAGTACAGTACAGTACTGTACAGTATATAATGTCTTCTGTCTGCCCCTCAAAAATTTCCTTGGAACCTAACCCCCCGCATTTACATTAAATCTTATGGGAAAATTGGATTCATTTAACATCGTTTCACTTAAAGTTGCATTTTTCAGGAACATAACTACAATGTTAAGTGAGGAGTTACTGTACTCTGTAGTGTCTGCAGGGGACATTACTGCATAGCAAGCTAGTGCACTGAAGATTCACACCCAGTTTGCTGTGCAGTAATATCTCAGCTAAACTAGCCTTCAGATTCTCTTCAGGACCTTGATATGTGAGAAAGGTCCTAGGCAAATTATTACATCATGATGGTGATAATATAGGAGCTTTATGCAGTATAAAATATCTATGGCCTTTTGAGCTAATCAGTTGCAGGAAAGAATCCTGAAAAAAATGACCAACTTTAACTTCCCTGCTTCTGAAGTAGCAGATGTTGGCTTCTACAGAAGTCCTCGAAGGCTGAGTTTGCCATGGAAGTCAAACCAAAGAAATGTGTGTGCTGTGGAGTTGCTAAGGGTGAAAAGAGCTCCTACAATAAGCTGCTCACCTCCTGGAGGCACTTACTCCTCAGATTCTCAGGTCAAGTCTGTTTCCCAGTTAGGGGTCCTGACATTCATAAGAATTACTTATGAAAGATCCAGTTTAAAAAATAAAACAAAAACATTTGGAAAGCAGGTAGGTCCACCATATGTTGATCTCTGGCAGCTGGGTCAGAGGGTATGAGTCAGGCAGGAGCCAAAAATCCATGGGACATTCAGGGCTGTATCCACATACTGTTTGAGCTCACTAGCTCCTCTTTCAACATGGACTGCATGGCTTACAAGGTTGTCCAGCTGTTACTGTCCATCACCAAACCCCTCTCATGTAACTTCCTTTTCCCTAACACGTACCATTCTTTGGTTGCCCATGCCTCTACTATCCACATTACTATTTCTGTTTGTAATACTTTGAAGGTTCCTATATGTTGGTGGGGCACTATAAATACCCAAATAGCTATCTGGTGATAGACCCCCTAACTACCAAGGTAAGTTTTTCTTTTTGAAAATGAGAAGTTTTTGCATATTGGTTTTTCAGGGTTTTTTGTTTTTCTCTTCTTTTCTCCCTACACATTTTCAGTGGCAATATAGAAATGAGGGAGGGGACACAAACAGCAATTGAAAAACCAAAAAACTTCCAATATTTCCATTTTCAATTTAGAAAAGAACAAAACCAAAATCAGTTTTGGGGGCATTTTGTCCAAAAACTAAAAACATTTCAAAGTGTTTGCAAAACTTTTGGAGAAAAACTAAGGGTTTTGTTGTTTTGTACATTTTTTTAAAAAAAAATCATACTACTTTCCAACCATTTCTAGTTAAAATATTCAAATTCATTTGAAGACTTCCCTCAGTGGTACATTCACTGAGGCAACTCTAAGCAATCTCTGAAGAAAGCAGATAAAACAGACAGAAAGCAATAAAAGAAAATGGGATGTGGAAAAAAAAAAAAAAAAGCTTGTGCAATTTGGTTTGGAGATTTGTTGAATAAACTAAGCTCAAGAATTCTTATGCAACACTTCAAACTACCTTCTTATGTCCTCAGACACAAAAAGGATAAAATATAACTAATACTGTTCTTGCATGTTTACTTATTTGAGAATGTTCTCCACATAAAAAAGTAATGATACCCTTTCATTGACATCATCCAAGGGATAATATCCTTTTGTCTATGTCATTGGGGGTAATAATAACCTTTCAACTACTTCAGTGAGCAGCGCTTTTTTTTGTCATTCTACATACAAATAAAAAGACTATACTTTTTAAAAGTAGATAGGGACAAATATGCTCCTATTTACATTTGCATCAATACAGAATAACCCAACTGAAGTTGACGGAATTAAATTGGTGTAAATGTGGAGCAAATGAAAGCAGAATTTGACCCATAGTGTTTAAGAGAGTACACAAATGCTAGAAGTCTAGTTATTTTCTTGTTTGTGCTGGGGGTTTTGTTACGATACAGCAGTTTTGTTTTCTTAATTCATTAGTGTCCTATATTTAACGCCTGAAACTTGAGAAGTGTACGTTTTTCCATTAATTACCAGAAAGAATACAAAGGAACAGACTGACATACTTGGTCTTATCAATAGTGTTGATCACTTAAGTTTAGTTGTGCATCATTTATCATTGAATAGGTTAGCCTTGAGAGGCCATTGTCAGGTCAGTAGCATTGCTGCTAAGATATTAAAAAGAAAAATATCACAGTTAAACAGTTATTATTGATGTTTCCACTTTGTGCATGCCAGCATATGGTTGTATGAGATTCTCCTTGATATGACTCAGTAAAGGGTTGCATGAAGCTGTTCATAATGAAAATGTAAATTTTCTTCTTTCAAATAATTACTTTGAAAGTAATTATTTGAATAACTTAGCATAGCTTTAGTATAATAAGATATGTATTCATTAAAGTACCCTGACTAGATTGCTTCCTATCATGGTAACTTTTCACTAAAGTGAAATACATTGCGATGCTGATCTCTTTATTAAACTAATATCTTTTAAAATTAAAGACGATGGCAAGTTATACAGGATGTTAACTGTGTGTTTGTTTATTGAACTTGATTTACTTCATTTCAGCTTTTAATTTAGTCAGATAAAATAAAAAGATCAAAGAAATTTTCTGCCTAATACAGAAAGTGAACAGCATATTAACTTCTTCATTCTACTAGTAAGACATCTTGTAATCAAACCAATAGGATAAATGCATTGCAGGAGAATGAATCTTAGAAACTGACTTCCAGGAAAACGGCACTGATTAGCTACAGTTCCTTTAAGAACATATATACGCACAAATAACTGTGAATTAAAAGTGGGAATGGTCTATTAAAAGTGCTTCTATTTTGCTTGGTATAGCACTGTTAATGTTGAACATGAGAGCAAATGAAACTTCCATTTCAATTCAATGACAAAATATTTTAATTGTAAACAAAATTGTTTTTCTTTCTTTACTCATTTTAAAAACAAGTAATAGTTCTTATATTAAAGCACATTTGTGCTGTGTCATATATTAATTTTGGAATTGCATTCACAGTGGTAATACTCAAGAGTATATCATCAGATTTTCAAGATGGCCTTTCTACCTTCGTCCAAATGCTTCAATCAGCCCTTTTATTGAGCAGACTATACCTGATAAGCTGCAAAGGAAACCCACAGTAAAAAGAGAAATGGCTGCACATTTCTCCAAGAACACTAACTTTCCCCATTTAAGTTTTAAGTGGAAAATAGAAGGAAGAAGAAAAGTCATAGCAGCACCTGTTACACTGCCTGTTAAACCCATCAGCAGAGCAAAATGTGGTATGAACATGGCCATCAGCAGAGTAAACAAGAGGGCCAAGCCTCTTAAAACTACAATAAACAGTGGGGTTCTGTAATCAGAACGCTTGCTGCTAGATATGCAAGTATGCAATATTTCTGTGACTGCAAAAAAGGGCAATGGGTAAGACAGAAGAGCCTTGGCTAAGAAGCACAAATTCACCAGGGTTTTTAGGGATGATGGCAGGTTGTCAGTAATAACTTCCTTTGTCTCTTCGCCCCAAGTCAGGAATGCAGTAAGTGCAAAGGCTGTCTTGAAGAGACAAGCAAAAAAGTGAGTCCAGTTCAACATACAGCTAAATTCCTTTGGGTTTTTCATGTTCCCTTCAAGAGTAGGAAGAAATATTTGTGAAGTGTAGCTGAAAATGATCACCCCCACTGAGACCAGGAAATCCTCAAACTCAATGGGGAGTCTAAATCTTGTCCAAGACCACTGATGTATTTGTGTCAGACAGTAACTCATCACTATGAAGATGATAATGAAATGGACTAAGGAGCAAAGCAGGCTGAGTTTGGAAACAATGCTGAGAGTTTTGATAAACACACAAGGCAGCAGTGTTACAAACACAATTACAGACCAAGTTTTCTCAGTCACTGGTAAATATGGAAAACTATGTGACAGCAAGTTCCCACTAACAACCAGATACAAAATGCACGTCATGATCAGTTCCATCACCTGGGTCACATTGACAACTATGCCACCTAGTTTGGGAAATCGCTTTTTACAGCAGGCATTGGCAATGTCTTCGTATGTGTCTCTCACTCTTATGAGCTGCCCGTCTTCATCTTCTTCGTACAAGCAAGCGATTAGAATTTTGCCAGTATAGCAGCAGAACATTGCAGCCAGGATAATAAGAAACAGCCCACTGTATCCACTGTGGAGAAGAGCATATGGCAATCCTAGAACAAAAATTCCCTAGAGAGAGAGAGAGAGAGAAAAGATAGGACAAAAATCCTTGAGGCAAAATGTTTACTAGAAGCAACGTTTTCAAACCTGCATCTGTTGAGTATCATCTTTTCCGTGGTGGGAGAATTGTTATAGTATTCTAAGTAAATAACAATTGCAAAAAAAAGAAGTGTTTATTTAGGATAAATGAAGTTATCGGCAAAAATACCTGCTCATCCAGACATCACATGTACAGGTAAGCTAAGAAAGAGAGAATGCAAGCAAGTGGTAGAGACAAGTTCCTGTTTAATATTTAATGCTGATGTGATTAGAAGCATATTTTAAAAGGCTTATAGGCAGTTATTCAGTCAACATGCATATTAATGGAGCAGGTTCAATAATAAAATCAAAGAGCTGTAGCAGCTGTTGTATAAGTTTCACCCAAATATTAAAATAGTATCTTAGGCAAATCCAATAATGACACACGGTTTTGGTTTAAAGATTATACGGGGGTCATAGTTAACAGTCATCTGGAAATAAAATGCCATTCGTGTTGGAATGGGTTACTTCTGCAGCAGTCTGAAACCTTATGGGTTCTTTGCTGTTGTATTCATTCCTGAAGTGAGCACGCTTGTAGCTGAGAGTATAGAGAGTTTGGCCTTATTTATATGTCTAAAAATGTATGGTGGGTATACACATACTTTTCTCTGAACACTTTCTCAGAGGAATTGGATTATATTTGTTTTATCCACACTTCAGTTTCATGAAACACCGTGTTCATGGTCTTTTGCAAGTGTGTTTTTGTTGCTTTTGAATTCAGATCAATACAAAACTATCAAATTCTTGAACCCAATAGGCATGCATACAAAAGATTCAATTTAAGCTAAACAGCATCCCTGACATTTCCCTTGTTTCCCAGGTGACAAAGATGAAGATATACAACGTACATCAGTGCTTTGTGTTCTTGGTGATAATTAAAATAAAATGGAAGGGAAGCAAAATAAAGCTAAATTCATTACATTATTTTATATTATGTCTTACAGCATTATAGGTGAATAAAATGTAGGTATTAACACATTTACCCAGGCATGGTGACCCAAAGCATGAGATCCTTGCTGAGAGTCATATGACATCAATGGGGCTACATGCAAAGTAATCAGATTAAGTCTCCTGGCGTGCAAATGCTTAAACATATGCTTAATGTTACTCACATGTGTAGTCTCATTGTGTACAATTATAAACATGTAAGTGCTTATAATCAGGGTCTTCATTTGTGCTCAGCATGAGTAAAAGTGGCAGAATATATGCCTCATTATTTACATAGGGCCTACTTCTGTCACTCTTACTCAGTTTGTGTGGTAGTTTACTCAGTGATTATGTTCAGAGTAAGATATTACTCAAAATGAGTAAGGGTAGTGTAATTGGGCCTTTGCACCCAGATTCTCAAAGATGTTTAGGTGCCAACTCCCTTTGGAATCAATGGGAGTTAACCATCTAAATATCTTTTGAAGATCAGGGCCGTAGTCCTTACTCAGGTCAAATCCTGTTGCTTTCAATAGGAATTTTAAAGACCTCAGGATTCGGTCCATCATGAGGTTATAGGTGGGCTGAGCACAACTTGTATGTTATTTGTAAGGGAAAAAGATAGAAAAGAGAAGGTAAGTACAGATCTAGATAAGAGGTTTGGTGGCGAAGAGAAACTAATGGTAAACTAGTGAAAGTAATATATTGTGATCTCCTTTCTTGTCTCCCAGCCATAAACTAACATACATTATAAATCAATGACTGCAGGGGACAGCCAGCAAAGGAGAAAGATGGGCAGCCAACAAACTAAAACGACATCTTTACGCTAAGTTACTAGGCAAGTTAGATCACCCATCGTGTGCACCAGTGGTATCTATTTTATTTTACTTTACTTTACTTTACTTTACTGGAGGTATAGATATCTCTAAAATACAGTTGGATTAAGACTGCAGGATTACTCTTAAAACATGGGTACAATTAAGGATGTATTTAAGTGTGTATGCATTACATCTCTTATTATCGCTCAGACTGTTAATGACACTTTACTTTACTTGGGGTGGGGTAGAGTGTTTTTAAATTTTTGGGAGAGCCCTTTTATTGAGGTATTGTAATGTTTGATCACCTGTTCATCCCACTCTTCACAGTCACCAGGACTTTGCAAAGCCAGACAGTGACTGCAGTCAGTGTCTTAATTCAGTTCTATGCAGGTTCTTATACAGTCCCCATTACCATAGTACTTGAGCAACTTCTGGAAGTACATTAAGCAACACGATTAGAATCCCTTATGCATATTTAACACACATTCTTTGGAAGTATCCAAAGCTTCCCCATTTCTGGTCACTACTCATCTTTATGGAAAAGACTACAAATCTGCCTATCCACAGAATGCAAACGGTGCATGTGCAACAGCATCTTTTGAGAGCATGCACCTTTCTGGCCCATGCTTTTTATTGAGTGCTGCAGGTAAGGCACTTCCCCAAAGAACAATTTTCCTTTACTATAAAAACAATGTACAGGGATTGCTGCAATACCAGAATGGGTCTGATAGCATCTTAAAGAAACCATGTTTATATGAAAATCTGTGGAAGAATCTAGACATGAAGGCATCTTTTGTATCAGCATGTGGACAGTACTGTTTACTCAGTTCAACAGTGTGTAGTAAGCTTATCTCTTTTCTTCTGCTTTCATAGTATTTTTTTAAATTATGTAATCCCAAAGTGCAGCTGGGAGTTTCAAGAGTATCTGCTGACCCAAAAAGATGACAATATAATTAAGCCACAGGTGGGTGTCAGAACAGGCCTTCCCCAAACAATAGCTCCTCCCCTGCTGAATTTAGTCCATTAACATTTATATAACTATCCTCATCCCAGAGTAAAGCAGAAGTCTTTCAGACAACATTATCACATCCCACAGCCACTGACAGGTCTCCCCATAGGTATCTGTTTTCTCTTATTTAACTGTTACTTTAATCAGAGCATGGCATAACTAACTTTTAAGATCCCCTTGCTATTTACTTATATCCAATTATTTTTCTTTGGTTGCTAACTCAGGACACAGTTGTAACCAAGGCCACATTTTTCTGTCTTCTGAACTCAGGCCTAATTACTCTTTGGAAAAGCTGGCAGAACAGTTACACAGAAATAACCTCAGGATTTGGATAAACTGTCTGCTCCTTCTTAAAATAATCCACAAAGGGTTGCCAATTTCAGTGTACCTGGAAGCTACATTGGAGTTGACAAATGGAAGTTTAGACTGAACATTTCCACAGTAAGCCAAGTTTTCTCCCCTATTGATAGTGTCTGGAGTCCCTCTTTTGCTTTTTTTTTTTATTTTTTAAATGTATGATTATGGAGGATGATGCTAAGAGACTCAGGGACTTACTGTTTCTGCTTCCTTCAGCATCTTCTTGATAACGGAGAACATCAAGCCTCTAGCCTCCTGGCCATAACTGGCTGTGTAGTCTTTTCAGTACAGATGATGATTAGTAGCCAGAAATGAGAGTTTGGGACACTTCCATAACGTATGTGTTAAAATAAAAAGTGGCACTGCCTCCATTGTCTCTCCAGAATCTGTTTTATTACTGCCATTTCTTTTAAAAAACATTTTCACCAGTGTCCTTTGGCAGCAGGTTGTCAGTTTTTTTATATACGTCCAAAAGTTAATGATGAAAAGTGAGAGTCCAAATAAAGCAGGATCTCTTGCCAGACTTCAGAATCCTACTCATCCTCAATCTCCAGTTCCTAACTCACTACAAGTGATAATTTCTGCAAGGACACTTTCTACATGTCATCAAGTTTAAAAATAGGAGTTTCAAAGGAAAAGATACCTCTCTTAAGCACTTTTTCAATGACAATGTCACATAACTGCATAGATAAGGGCCAGATTCTCTGATTTGTTAAGGCTGTTTCATTGTGAAGCAACCTGAAAAAGCTTAACTAGTCCATGGAGGATTCCTCCCACATAAATAAAACCTCACGTGATGTAAGGGTGCTGTAACAGCTCCTATGCTACTTTACTTTCCAGACACCCATATAGGGGTTGAGTCTAATGGAAGGGAGTGGGGTTAGTGTATCTCGAAACCCTGGTGATGATTGTAATGGGGCCACAGGCAGACAGGCATAAAGTGGAATACACACTGGGGTCTAGATTGGTGATTAGACAGCCTTTGCAACAAGGACCAGCAAAAGTTGACAAAAGCTAGGGAGAATGGGACAAGCCACACCCAGAACTCAGCCCTCGGCTAGGGGCTATCAGCTCAGCCAGAGCATCCCCATCGGGAAGCAGACAGATCTCCCAGCCAACCCCAGAGGCACCAACCCAGCCACAGGTCCCTGCCAAGTCCAGGACAAGTAGTAGCCAGGGTCCGGGTTACCTGGATGCCAGTCCAAAGAGATGACAGAGTCAGGCAGGAGCATGGCAATCCTACATCTTGTTCAATGCTTGAAACTTGTCAGGCCTTAGTTCTGCTCATTAGTTTTCCCTAGTCAGTTATGTAAATAAGGTGATACATATTCACCAAATATACATTTAAAGAAACTCTCCAGATTTCTGAACTTCCAGCCTTAACAGGGCTTTGTCATGCATGTCATACTGACTCCTTAATTTTACAAGCCATTTCAGCCTATAATGTATCACACCCCTGTAAAAACAAAGCAGTATCCCTCACAGGGAAAATAACCTGGCAGAAAGAGAATAGACCAAATCATGCTAGGAAGGGAATGAAGTGATAAAGGAACAAAAAGAATGATGTAAAAAATTTGTTCAACCTTAGGGCTAAATTAAATGAAAAAATAAAGAAGGAAGTGAAGTAAGTACAAATAAATGGATAAATTAGTTAGTAACAGGAGCCCAGAATATCATATGTATTGGCTTAATATCAGAACAGATGGAAAAAAGGCCAGAATGCTATAAAGGTGCTAGGTGCTTATAAACCTTCCAAGCCATTTGCAAATATTATGCAGAAGCAGTATAATAGGGTAATCCTAATATTTCTGCAACCATATACT